AAAGCCAGCTGGTCTAATAAACCCATTTATATTTGTGAGCTTTTTCTGAACTCTTGCAGTCTGCTGAATATGTTTATACAACTGTCCCCTTTGTTTCAAATATAAATGAATCATTTGTGGATTTTCATAAATAGCCAAGTAAAATTAAACATGAATTGGTTTGTTCATCAAAATAATGACTACTTACTCAAATTATACCTGGATTCAAATGAACCCAAACAAATTATACACTTCTCTAATAGTCTTTCATCTTTAAACACAGGGATGACAAATTTCACTAGATGTATAAATTCCTTCATTACATTGATTATTACTGAGGAGTTACCACACTTATTTCCTGTGCTAGCTATTGGGAATACCTAGATGAATGGGTTTTAGCCAGAATTGGGGGAGCAGAGCTTGGGGGAAAAGGACTCAGAGCAGTCTAAAAATTTGGGATGTCTTCCAAGTTCCAGAGAAATTATGCCCAGCTGCTTATTCAAAATTCCACTTGAACACATCTTTCAATCTGTACGTCTCCTTCAGTGTCTTATCCCAGATACTGGCATGCATATCTGCCTACTCTCACAAGCTAGAAACTTGCTGTCACTTCTGACTCTCCCGTCTCTCTGCCCACACCCAGTCAATTACTACCTCCTGATGAAACAGTCTCTTTACCCCTGCCAGCACCCCAGACCATGCCACTTCCCTCTCTTGCTTGGATTTCTGAAGCAGTCTTCAAACTGGTCTCTGCATCTACTCTTACCCCCAACCATTCCTAACACATCATGCTTGTCATTTTGCCTTCACCATCTGTCTTCCTAACTAGATTAGAAGGTCGAGGAGAAGAACAGTCATGTAGGTCACTTTGCCAGTGTACTTCCAACAGCTTGAATGTTAGCTTTTATGACACAAAGTAATATAAATTAAGTATATATTAAATGAATAAATGAAAGACTCTTTCTATTGAAAGACAAGGGAGAACAAACATAAAAAGAGTAAGAGAAAGAATGTGAAAAAAGACTAAGGAAGACAGAATAACACAATGTGTTCAGTAAACCACAAAGTCAGCTGTACTTAATTTTAATGTATGTACAAGACAAAGAGTCCTTTTCAGAGGTAGGCAAAATGAATATATATCATGAATTTTAAGCACAGGCATTGACCTAAAGAGTTTTAAATAGGGAGCCAGTAACACTCTTATTTGCATTTTAGGTAATAATCTAAACAGCAGAGAGAATGGCAGCAGAGAGAATTGTTTCAAGGTAGGTTAGATTAGAATGCTTAATCTTTCAAATGTTGATTGCTCACTGTGATTCTGGGAAGAAATAATCATAAATGGCCTGAATGAGAAGCCTCCTGTGACAATTACAGTGCTTTTAATTGAAAACTCAGCTTGAATAAGTTTAAGTAAAAAGAGAGATTTGTTATAAGGGTATTGGAATTTCTCATGGAAGTCAAGAATAGGAAAATCGCTGGGCTATAAGAACATCCTGAGATCTGGGTGTGCTCTCTTCCTCTCTGTACATAAACTTTAAGGTATTACTTTAAGCTACTAACATCTATTTTATCAGGTTGTTTAACAGGGAAAGATACTGATAAATGCATTTTCTTTCAGAATATATATGGCCAGGCTTGGTGGCTCATGCCAATAATCCCAACACTATGGGAGGTCGAGGTGAGAGGATTGCCTGAGCCCAGAGGTTCAAGACAAGCCTGGGCAAATTGGTGAGACCTCATCTCTACAATAAATCAAAAAAATGAGCCAGGGATGGTGGTGCATGCCTGTAGTTCCTGCTACTTGGAAGGCTAAGGTAGAAGGATATCCATAGCCAAGCAAGCCAAGGCTGCAGTGGCCATGAATGTACAACTGCACTCCAGCCGGGGCAACAGAGTGAGGCTCCGACTCAAAAAACAAACAAAAACTTATATTTGAGGTAAGATTAAAGAATAAGAAAGCATACAGGACACACAAGAAAAGGACAAAGGGGGAAACACTGAGAAAGAAATAAGACTGCAAATACGAAATAATGAGTAATTTGGTGTAACTGTGGCATCGAATACATGGACAAAAGACAAGACTGGTTTTCACAAAGGAAAGAAAAAGTAAATTAATCTAATACTTGATAAGGTTTATTTTTCCCCATTTAATTAGTCATTCTTTTCTCCCAATGGATAATGTATTTTAATAGTATAATAACTGGATGAAGAAAACACTGGCAGATGAAATTATTATGAAGAAGCTTCTATTTATTGTAAGAATACTGTAAGAGTTTTTATGCAGCCTGTAGCAGCATGGATGTGTTAAAGATACTGCTTTGGTAAGGAGCATAAGATCTAAGTCACTAAAATAAAAGAAATGGGATAGGGGAAAGAATGAAAGATGGGTTGTGTCTGCCTCACAGTTTTGCCTAGAACTAGACACGATTAGGGAAAAATCTACTTTTCCTCTGGAGCCAATGTTAAGATGAAGAAAGAGAAAAGAGGCTACTTCAAATCAGTCCTTTATGGAAAAGACAACTCCTGTAAAATTCCACTGCTTAAATATTTAATAAAAAGCTCTTGTTAAGTGTATTTCTGTGATAATTCTGTATTGATGTAGCAGATGCTCTCAGAAGGTTTGATTTGGTCTTTTTCACCCATTTCCCCCCCCCCCCCCC